GTATTCATGAGGATTTTGTGACTGAGCCATTGGCGACGCGTTGCCCACGTATGATTGGCTGTGCCAGTTGCGGCTTGCTGAATCTGATTCAACATTATCTATCTATCGTGAATGACACTAGTTACAGCAACAAATGGGGTTGAACATGAATAATCATTGAAGAACAGAATAATGTGCAGAATGCAAAGAATATGAGCGATATTGCTCTGGGGTCTACCGACGCCTGTTTTCTGGTTGACGTCTGCCTTTACCCCGCGATTGCCGTCTTGATAGCGACATAAATACTGAAGAACAACGCACCCTAACCGGCCCTCTAATAATGAATTTCTTGGGAGAAGAGTTCGATATCTAGCCACTAGTGTCCTTTCGTCTAGAGGCTAAGCTGCTAAGATGATGTACTGTCATAGTTAACGTTGTTGAGTAGACAGGGCTCAGACTCTTATTTGCTTTCAGTGCTTCTGCAGCATTGTGACGAATGAGCGGGAGGAGACGTGTAGAGGCAGTAGATTGTGATTAAGGTGATGGGAGTTTGGATACGTGGATTTGCATGTTTGGGGGTTGATGTTTGTCCATAATCCATGCGAAGTACTCAACCACTTCTGGGAAGCATTTCTTTGCCGGGTCCATATTCAACATTACGGAAGAGTCTTGGATATAGTTAACGTCTGGGGGACTTTTGGTCTGAGACAATGGCAGGCGATGGAATGCAGCTCGCTGTATGAGGGTTTAGGTATAAAAATGAGGGTGGGAGCTATGATGTGTGGAGAAACACGACAATTGAGCTTGATTCTCTTCTCTCAGTACTCCGAGCGGCGTCAGTGGCATCTGCGATAGAACCTGAGCGTCAGGTTATTAGTCCCTGGAAGTGGGCAAGGCGCTGGGTTCGGTTTTCTTCCTGCGGCGCTGTCTTGGATTGCTCATGCTCGCGGAATACCTTCAGGCCGACTTAGCTGATTGAAGAGGGTGGGGGGCTGGAATATGCTAGGTATTTCTTATGAGGCAAGAGAATGAGATGTTCAAAAGTTTAACGACTTGCAAAACAATGAGGAATAGCAGCCATCAATTTTTGCCTATGTAGAGTAGTCTACTATTAGAGAGTGGTTTATATGCCATGGCGGAATATCCCGGTCAAGTGAGGTGTTCCCATACAGACGTTGCTAGCCTGCCGGGTTGTATGTGCAAGGTTTGAAAGCCACGCCATGTACGACAGAAGATGGCCCGCCTGCAAAACAATCTGAGCCTTGATCATGGCTGTTCCAGTCACTTTCTACATGTGGACTAAGACTGTATCAAATTATAGCTTTCGTTTGGCACAATCAGACCCTGTGATGAAGGCGCATAAGGGTTGATATTGTTGTTGTGTGGATACTCGCCAGTTGAATGAAGTTTCTATGAAAGAGATGACGGTAAGATGCGTTCCTGCACACCTGCATAATCAAAGGCGGAAGCCTCTCCGTATTTTGGAAAGATTTTGTATCACCGTACGCAAATGTTATTCTTGATTATTTGCTTGAGAGACTAAGATGTGCGATGTCGAAAAGATTCGCCCTGACTCTGTAAACGTGACTCCGTGCGTTCATAGCTTTTGCCTTTTTGTCGCCAGATCAACAAAATGACTAGGTATGGTGTTGTACTCGGAGGGGGCTTCCACTGCACGTAAGGCGACTCATGCAGGTCAGCCCTTGGGCTTTCTCTAGCCCACTGACCCTCAAAAGTTTCTTCGTCAGAGTTATCCAGCGGCCAAAGAGGTATACCTAGAGGCTGTGACCTACTGTGCGGGGACATAAATAAAATGTTGAAGGAGAAAAAGGAGAAGGCGTGTTTAAGATGACCCTGCTTGGTCTGAGAGTAGGAGAACCCGATGAAAAAATACGATGTTGGTGCTATTACAGACTTGATTTGACGGGTTCCATGTATCTAATTAGTTGAGATATTTTCCAGGTGGTCCCGACTCATGATGTCGCTTTATTTTGCAGCTTTCTTACCTTGGCATGATAGTCTCTCGTTGTAGGGCTTTTGGAGACTCGATTTGAATACTTAACGACGAGTAATCATGGGGGCATAGAGAAGATAAAGAGCGTAGCGGTTGTATTGCGTGAACCGCTACTGACGTCGGGGACCTTAGAATAAGCACACATCGCGCGCACCGCTAGACCAGAATCCAAATCGTCAAACACATGTAGAGAAGACAATTTTGGAACGTATTGATATGCCAAAAGTCCCACTGGTGTCCGATGACCTCTTTCAGGTAACTGTCCTACTATGATATCCGTGAAACAGTCAGCGTGTTGCGTTACTCGGGAAGCGAAAGTGATGCATGGCTTGCCGTATGATTTGTATTTCAAACAAAATTTCATTCTTCTAACTTCTCCCCTTCTAACTTTCTTTCTACAATTTGACGCCCGTACCCACTGCTGCATGACCTTGACGGGCAAATTTGCGAGGGCCAGGATGGTTCGTAGAGGAATCTCTATAACCACCTATGGGGTGTAGAAGGCCTTGTAGAGGCAGCTCTCTCTCCACACCACTCCAACCAATTACTTCGAAAAGGAAATACAAATGATAGGGCGAGAGCTTTGCCTGGAAAGATAGCCCCTTCATCCCACAGGCCCCTCTTCTGAGTCTTCTCAGCAGAACTTCAGATCCTCCTGAAGAAGCAACAGTCCAGGTCTCGAGAGGTATTCGCCGATCAGTGGTGCGGGAAAATCAGCACCAATGCGGTGAAGCTGTCGATCTGCAAGCTTCAAACACTTGCTGAAATCAACATCACGCAGGTAAATTTCAAAGGGTACTGTGATGTAGCCGAGGTTGCTGCTGTCCCGGAATACCGTAGTGCGTGAGGTATAGGCCTTGTCAAAGACAGGTGGCTCGGTTCCCTCGGGCCTGCTCACAATCCACACACTGATGCCCAACTCCAACCACGCATTGATGAGGCCAGACAACGCTTCCCATTTGCACTCGACACTAACTGTGTCAAAATTCAAAAGGCTTGGAGCCAATTCGATGGCGATGTTTTTGGGATCGCCATTTCCATCTCGAAAAGGAAAGAAGGGGTCCATATATGGATTATATTCGTCAAAAGAAGAAAACCCATAATTTGAAGGAAGGGTGTTCCAGGCGATTTTAAGGTAGATGAGATCTTGCGAAAGGCGGAGAGGTATTCGGACTCTTTCCGACCCTTGCCACGCGGTCAGTGCCGTAAATCGTGGTTAACTGTGGACGCCTGAGACGGCTGGTGCAGATGCAGTTGTTGTCTGAGCCTGGGAGTTTTCAAGACGCTTGGCCATACGGATGAAAGCGGCCCGAGACTCTTAGCAAGCGAATGCAACGCTTGAAAGGTTGTACGTTGAGTGGTTTCCATTGAACCAGGACCTTGTGTGGGGTGCAGTGTCATTTGCGTCGAAAGATGGTGGTAGCAAGCGTGTTCCTCGTTGGTCATGTAGAGAATCCACTTCAACGCAATTCGAGACGACTCCTTTAGCGCTGCAATGGTGTACGGAGAAGTAGTTGACTCCATTTTGAGGAGGGGTTGCTGCCGTCTCCCAGATCTGATCTCTCACCTATGGAGGGAGGGACGAGAACAGGGGAAACCCGTCCAATGGAGTGTTCACAAGTTGGTCTTCCATCTTCTGAGTGATTTCCACAGATTAAGGGGAACAAAAATCGGAATAGGATATGAATGTAGGTGCTATAAAGCGTAACGGGCAGATGATTACAGAGTTTAAGAGGTAGTAGTTAGGCCACAGATGCCTTTTTTATACTTAACTGAGGATCCTAGACATCCAGGTTAGCTGGATCATTAACGTCATAATAAGTTCTCATTATGTCTAATTAAACTCATTACAGCATTTAAGATTTATTAGTTTCAGCCATAAAGCAATATATTACTAAGCTAGGTAGGCCAGTAGTCTATAAGAAATACAGTTAAAGTTTACGTATTAAAATAAGTAAACTTTTAGGAATTTATATCTAAATTTTTAAAACTCTAATTAGGGGCGCTGTAGATTGAAGTTACTACTACATACCTATGTTGCGATTTTAAATTGCTTGCGTTTAGATGAGGTCTTAGGCCTGGAGGATGTAGGAGGTTACTATTAGATGAGCAAAACGCATCCCTACTTCAAGTTTCTTCTGAAATGTATTAGAGATAGGTGTTTATTTTGTTAACTAATACATCAATAGGTAGGAACTGCTGTTAAGCATTCAAATACTGCGCATAACAAGCAAGGCCATTAAGGGACAGGAGATTCCCAGCGGAGCTTCATCCTATTCGCTGTGAAGCCTTGATAAGGAATGCCATTGGGCTATGTAAGTTCTATCAAACATGCTCGAGATCATCAGATCTCTGTGCAGCACTGTCCCATAAACTTTAGGAGCTCACGCAGACGCCAGGGCAGCGGCGGAACTCTTCCGGTCCGCAAAGCTCGTAATTCATTACCCGATCGGCGTGGCGCCTACTGTGGTGGCAAGCCCCTCCAAGCCTCTGTGTACCCGGCGGACCGCGCATACAGCGGACTGGACCTGGGGCCTCGAAAGCGTTGACGGCCGTGTGTCGAATCTTTCTCCACACTCCCTCGCCCTTCAATTAGTTGCAAGACCTGTCCTCGTATTTTGTTTCATCAGTTCGTGGCACAGTGCCGTTGTCCGAGCCTGTTTGGTGCCGTGCCCATCTTCTCCAGACTCTCGCAAGCGTTGAACAATTGCTGGATGCATGGGCTAGCAAGTAATACTTCTCTGCATGGTGTGGAGGGTGGGATGAACTTACACCTGATAGAGCATCAGTTCGGGATTTCAGGATTATACGGGATGATACGACGTACTTCGATCGGAGTCCGACCCCCGTGTATTCGATAAGATCCATACTTACCTTTCACGTGGGCACCCGCAAGAAAAGTCAACGGTTTGAAATGTCGTAGCGGAAAAGTAAATAGTCTGTTAGCCAGTCAAAACCGGGCAAGGTTCTGTGAGAAACGTTTTGTCTACCTCTAGCCCGACTATCTTCATGACTGCAAAGTCGCATTGGACCCCATAGTGGTGTTAGAATACTGCAACACCCACTTCCCCGTTTCATACACGTCAAAGCTTTCCTCCTTAGACGGGTCTGCGTTCATCTTCTGCGCCTTCACCCGCCAGATGTAGCTTCCAGCCGGGATAAAAGTCTTATTCGCATCAGAACCGTCCCAGTACCAGTTGCTCGCACGACCCCAAATAGCATCCGATGTCGTCTGCCATGACTTGGCGACTTCCTTTCCGGAGTCGGCATCCACGATGTAGATGCTCAAGTTCCGTGTTTGAACGAAGAGCGCGATCCAGACTCCGGGAAACATGTTGTCGGCAAAAGATGCGGGGACATCTTTGCTGGTGTCCAGGGTGCAAGTGAAGACGCGGCCCTCTTCCATGCGCACCGGCGATGAAGATGTCATGTTCCACATCATGAGGTATGATGTATCCCGCTTGATAATGGGGAGTGTTGCAAGCGGAGCGCCGAAGCCAGTGTAGGGGAGGGTCAGGTTGTTCACGTCGGCTGAGCCCTCTGCCTCGATGGCCACATAGCCGCCAAAGAAGGACACACGTGTCGCAGCTTCAGGAAGATTCGGCTCCTTGGTGAGTGCAACGGAGACAGTCGATGATTTACCAGGCTCAACCTTGATGGTCGCTGGGGTGACGCTGACGTCGGCGTAAACTGCAGTGGCTTCGCCCTTAGTGAAGTTGTAGCCATTGGCTTGCTTGAGAATGTAGCCGGATGCTGCACCGACATGGCTCAAGTGGTACGTAATGGCCTTGGTTCCCGTGTTCTTAATGCTGAAGCTGAGTTCTTTGGGGCGGTTGGCCGTGTCGTTAAAGGAGAGCGCACCGGTGCTGAGCACTGTTGTGGAATGTACTGCGTTCCATGCGTCCAAAAAACCACCTCCTTGTTGGAACACGGGAGCCAGGAAGTCTGAGACCGCACCCTTGCCGTCGTTCCACTTGACCGGGCGAGCGGTGGTGGCAATCACAGCCTGGATCTCTTCGGGAGTGTAATCGGGGTGGTTCTGCCTCACGAGTCCGGCAACGCCGGCCTCGAATGGAACTGACTGACTGGTTCCTATTGCGGATTGTCAGTATTCAACCGCCAATCTTGAGAGCTGTTCAACTTACCACTCACGACGCCGTAGCCTCCGTACTTGCTAGGAAATGTACTGATGAGGTTGCCGCCAGGGGCAAGGACGAGGGGCATAGCGCCTCCAGTAAGGGTCGGGCCCCAGCTGGAGAAACTCGACGCAAAGTCACCCGTGAGGTTGTTGACTTTGTTCTCAAGTTTAATGTTGGCAATTGAGGCCTCGTTGGCGAGATAAACCTTCGAGGCAGGGTCTTTATGGAACGCGTTCAGTAGCTTAACACCAACGTCGTACTCTACTGTGGCGATGCCCTTGAGATTGGGATCCGAGCTGTCTTCGTAGAATCCGGGACCGTCTGCAACGGTCCAGTTTTTCGTGGCGTAGTAGATGATGTAGGGAATTCCCAAGGCCTTCGTAATGGAAGCGTCCGCACCACTGGCATCTGTCCAGCATTGCGAGAGCGAGGCGAGAATGACAGTATTTGAAAGATCAGTTGGCAGGTCTGTCGGACTCGGAAGTGGCTGACAGTCAGTAGGGGCATCAACTTCCTTGTTCGGGGACCAGATGGTTAACTGGTTGTTTGCAGGAAGATCATATGGCAGACCAGGAACGAATCGGATCTCTCCACCATCGGTACCAGAGGTCCAGTTTCCTTGCCAGGTGAGATATGGGGTGACGGTGTTGTCCGTGGAGCCGACGGATGTGATAGCATCGGCCATGCCGGGACTGACGCCTGAAAAGACTCCAGGGCCTCCGTTGCCGCTTGGAAGAGAGACATATGTGCCATTCTTAAAGAGTCGCGTGGCTACAGCAGACCAGGGATCTTGTAGTTGTTAGCACTGACAAGTCAACTAGAGCCTTCATGAACAACTTTACCTTCAGGAAAGGCTTGACCACCACCAAAAGAGCAAGAGATAGCGTCAACACCTCGATCAGCAGCCTCCAGAAAAGAGTTGATCAACATATCGTTAGTGCTGCCTCCGATGCAAGGCTGAATGCGATAAAGCTCGTAGGTTGCATCAGGTGCCACGCCGAGAACACCGTAGCGAGCTTCGTCCCCCTTGGCAGCAATGACACCCAGAACGTGAGTGCCGTGAGAAGAGCAGTTGTCACGGACATCATTATCGTTGTCCGTCAGGTCATGCGCGTAACCAATGTCAACCTTGCTGAGGCCCGGGACGTCTACGTCGAAGCCACTGTCAATAACAGCGATGCGCACGCCTTTGCCGGTAAAGTTGGCTGCGTGAAGCTTGGCGACGCCAGTGTCAACGTGTGTGGATAGAGTGTCGACTGCTTCATCCCTGGCATGGAGCTGTGGCAGGTCACGCTTGACGTATGTTCCAAAATCACGGCCAATGCGTCTGTCGTTGTAGAGAGTTGGCTGAATGTTGATAACCGGCCAAGCCTTCTTAACTCCGTCGATACCCTGAACAGTCGCAAGAACAGACTTTTGGGCGACTTTGTCGTTATTGCATTCTAGGTTGAAGGAGGCCCCCTGAAACACGGCGTGAGTGAAGTAGTATCGCTTTGATGCGGTGCAATCTATGCCAGAACTAGCGAGTGAAGTCTGGACTTGGTTGTTCAAGTTGTCGGCGGTCTACTGCAGAGTTAGACCTATCCCAAGTTTTATGAAAATAATTCCAAGTGTTTATCCTACCAACTGAGCTGATCCGTCAAATTCAACCACGAACGCATCCTTGTAAGCGGTAGCCGCCAGAAGAGGAAGGTAAGCCGCGATGGCGGCTTGCGTAAAGAGGGACTTCATCCGGGGCTGAGAACGAGTGTGAGAGTCAGAGAAATGACAGCTGAGGCTGATGGCCAGGATCTTCGACAGCCAAGCACAGGACAACAGGTGATTTTGTACAAGATGCTGAGACTGACTCGTGCAACTATCACGAACCCCCTAGCGCAGGGGCCAATACGATCGCTCTCGCATATTTCTCTAGTTTTCCCATTGGTCGAACTCTAACATATTGGTTACAATTACCGGACCATCCGTGATAGGTCTCTATCGGATTTAGTGGATACAAAGCAGTTAATATGGGATGAACTGCGCCCGAGAATTCGGGTCAGTCTGATTATGCTTATGGTCAAGTGCTGAGTGGCATAAAGACGGACAAATGCCCTCCTATTGTCCGCGCACATCGTGCCATTTCCTCGGGTACTTCAAATAGCTTATGAACCAATACCTTATGACAAGAACGACGCCTCAAAGACTGAGATCGCAAGCGTATCTCTCCAACGACTCCTCAGAGCAAACGTACCCCGGCCACGGCGCGTCCCACGGCCGCTCAGCAGTCTCATAGTTGTGATACTCCAGGGTTGAGGTCCAGCGAAACAGGTCTTCCATCGCCGACGCGACGCGAATCAATCGCGCCTCAGAATATTGCCGCCCGTAGATGCAGAAACCAAAAGCGGTGCCGTAACCGCTCTGACCGATTGGCACCGACGCAACGGGATATCCAGCATACGAAGGGATCGAGGCACAAGCGTTATCGTGGCCACCAGATGGATCGTTCGGCACCAGCAAGCCGTCAAGTTCAATCACAGTGCCGTTATCGAGGATGTACGCATGTCCGCCGTCAATGACCTCGCGAGCGGTCCTCCGGCCCCAACCGAAGGCTTTCCAGAACTCGTCGCCCATGGTTCCATTCGTTGCGATGGCGTTGTCATAGAAATCTTGTCCTGAAACCGTGTTGTACCACCAGGTACTGTTGCCAAGGGCGCCAGTAGTGTCGTTGTGTGCATCATTCCATGCTGCCATTTCTGCTAGACTGCTCATTCCATGTCGCTCGTCAGATTCGGGGAATGTCCAGTTTTGGAGAAATTCGCCATATGCCACGGCAAGAAGGGTGTTATAGGCAACGAGTTGGCCATATTCTTCAGGCACATCAGCTGGCTGACCAAAGCCGTACTTGTTGGCCACGTTCTCAATGTTAGGAATATCCTAGGTATCGCATTAGCTGGGGCGATGACGCAGACTGAGAGAGGGCCTACAGTGATGTTATAAATCTCGGCTCCAGCAGCTCTCAACTCATGAACGCGGCTCTCATATGCCTCGCGCTGGCCCGGCGAGTTTATGGCCTAGGATCACATAAGTAAGCGTTGTCACGACTGTGACTGTAGGAACATACGCCAATCGTGGACCAATATGGATTCCACGGGAGACCGAGTTTCATCCCTATAAGAGAACTCTGATCGGTGACTTCAGCGGCATATCCGTTTTTAGGAAAATTTCCAAGAGCGTCGAATGTTAGATTGTCGAAACGATCGGGTCCGGCCATGATGTCGAGAAGAACTGCAACATCACGCATCGAGCGAGCCATGGGTCCAGGCGTGTCGTGGTAGAAGCTTCCAGGGACAACACCATGGCGGGAAACCAGCCCAGGAGTAGTCTTGATAGTGTAAAGCCCCAGTAGCGCAGCAGGGTGAACCAAGGAGCTTAGTTGCAGGTGTCAGTATGCGAATGTTCGATTGCTGCCCGATAGAATCTTGGAAACTCACCCGTGAGTTTCAGTTCCTAGGGCAATAGCCACCTGGTTGCTTCTCACCGAGACTGCAGAGCCACCACTACTCCCGGACGTAGGCTGAGTGAGGTTAAATGGGTTTCTTGTCTGCCCCACGCGAGTTGAATAGCCATCGGAGAAGTTTGTGAGTGCCCGGTGGTCAGCGGCCTCTGAGAGAGCCGTGTGCCCGAGTAGAACGCCACCTGCTTGTCGAATCTTGGACACAATAGTAGCTTCAGATGAGTATCTTCCACCCAGCAACACAAGACCGCCTTCGCTCGTGTTGTGTTTATCGTCGGTGTAGATGTTATCTTTGACCATGAATGGAATACCATGTAACGGGCCCCTGATCCCCTTGGTGTTTCGCTCATCGTCCAAGCTAGCGGCGATGGCCGGGGCGTCTGGGTTCACCTCACTAACAGAACGAAGGACTACATTTGTTTGCTCAATACGAGCTACATAGCAGCTTACTTGGTCCTGACTTGTGAGATTTCCCAGAGTCATCCAGCGCTGAAGAGTGCCGATCGTCGCGTCTTCGATGTCGATTCCCTTGCAAAGGGGCACTATTTCAGTCCGGTTAGAGCAAAATCAACAAGTTTACGAGACACTTACTGGGGAACGGCGAGTCTTCGCCACGCGACTCATGGATCAGCGAACATAGAGCCCCCGTGGCCAAGCTAGACGCTAGCACGGCGACTTTCACGAGCGATCCCATGCTGACAAAAGCCATTCCTCCAGTCTAACCTTGAATCAGACATCAAAAACACAAAATGGCATCTATCCTATCGGGCATAACGATATTCTCTCAGATTTATAAGTAATCCGCCAAGTCTTCTTCAAATTTGCCGCAGGCCTTATCAATGGTCATCACCTAGATAAGTTGCCGTCGCCGATAATATCGGCCCTGGTCCGGTTCTCTCGGTGAGAGAACTGATAAGGCTGCCGGCGCGGCATTCAGGTGGGGCCGGCCATCGGAGAGTCAACAAGCTTAACCTAACTTGTGTCTAGCCGGCGGCTACAGCTGCCGTTTCCGCGTTGGTCAGGGATCTTCATCCCTCCGGTATCTGTGGAGCCCCAGAAGTCGGACATAATCCCGATTTATTGTCATTGAAATGCGGAGCTTATCTGCAGTGGAGTTCTCTGGCAGGTGACACGCTTGACGCGAGAATCATGATGGCCAAAAGCCTTTCCGCGCCGTCACAAATCTCGGTCTCCCATACCAAAATTTCACGGCCTCGCGTGAGCACCTCCAAATACCAAGAATAGTCCATGGATTGGCCAAATGCCTTCCGGGATCAAATTCAGTCTCTCCCAACAGCCCACTTCGTTGCGTCCTTCAGCCATGTAAACACCATTTCTGTTCCATTCAAGACATTCCTTGCCATGAGACCCTTCTTCGGGTCTCTTTCGGGACCGGGGTCATTAAAAGTCTGCACCAAGCGCGTATTATTCTTGCCAACCTCTAGGATGGAACCGCCTGGGACTCCATCATCCTCGGCGCACCGAAGCATTGCCTCGGCGACCTCTTCAGGAGTTACCCAACCGTCCTGGCTCTCGTCCAAGTTGATGAGCTTCTCTGGATGCTCCGTCCATAGAGGCGTACGGACAACGCCAGGCGCGACGGCATTGATGCGGACTCCATCCGTTTCCTCCAGCCGAGCTAAACTCCGGACAAAGCCGGTGATGGCGAACTTGGACGCGGAGTAAAGTGGGGCGTTGATGTTCGGCACCTGACCCGCGACGGAAGAAATGTGGACAATTCGCTTGGGGTTGCCTGGTGAGGCCTTCACAGCAGGAGGGAGCTTGGTGTCCGTGACTTCTCTTGGGTGAAGCCAGTAAGATATCGCCAGCTGCGTGGCTCGAATCGGGTGCGTGATGTTGATATCCAGTAGCTTGTAGTGTCCTCCGTCGGCGCTGTCCTTGCTCTCTGATGACCCTGGAGGATGCCAAAAGTTCGACCAATGCGGCTCATATACGCCTGCTCCAGGACAGAGAATGTCGAAATTTCCAAACTCGGCGAGAGTCGCGTCAAACATTTTGGACAGCGCTGGCCATGAGGTGACATCAGTCTTGACGAAAATTGCTCGGGGATTGCTATTGTGCTTCGAAACCAGCTCTTCCGCTTCAGGTCTCAGAGCCAGGTCGGCAATTACGACATTGCAGCCGCGCTTGAGAAGCAGCTCAGCAAAGGAAAAGTTGATACCTGTGTGCAGCGTCAGTGTCAACGCGTTCTTGATGTCGATTTGTGATGGGACCGACCGGAGCCTGCTCCCGTGACGATCGCCGTCTTTCCAGACACGCTGAAAGGCGTGCTTTGCTTTGGTGCGTTGGCAGCCATAACGTATGTTGGTTCTTTTTAATACGATAAGATCACGGATTCTTGAATGTTGAAAGAATAATCTGAAAGTTTTGAGATGACTGAAACTCTAAGTTGGAATGTCTCAACATAAAAAGGACCCCGGGCTGGGTTCCCCTCTCGCTCGGTTTTCTTGCCGTCCAATATCCGGGAAACTTGCCCTTTCAGATGACCAAGGGCGGGGTTCGATTTGCGTCTGTTTGAGGCTCTTATTGGACGGCTCTAAAAAGACGCCTTTCGGATCCCATTTCACCGAGTCGACAGGGCAGCTGAGACATGTGTACGGCGAGTATCGCTCCAACGCCCCCGCGATGCAGCTTGACGGGTGAGGGGAAGCTACCCCGCAACCCCGCAGCGAGACTGTTTGACCAGGATAGCCAGCGGGAAACTGTAACCCTCAAGCCTCGGAATAAGCGGGCATCATCAAAATAGGAAGCGAGGAAGAAAAAAGAGTTGGTATATTCGAATAAACCTCCGGATCTAAACACCTTGCGAACTCCGCTGGGTATCTGGTGTCATCAGCCGTTGAACGATGTCAACCACGGAGCTAAGCTTTCCCAGAGAAACAACGGATGATGTCGTCGAAACTCGCGCAAACAGACCCAATGTTGACACCAATTGTTTGAAAATCGCTGCCTGATCAGGATGCAACTGAGCAAAGACTGCTGTAATGCAAAATGAGCTTACAGCAACTTGAACAAAGTGGCTAGGAAATATGATCTTTAGTTGCCATCGAGTAGACGCAGGTGGCGCATTTCAAACTTACCGGTTCATGCTGGTTGTGCTGGGATCCATATTGATAATGACGTTAAGAACCTCAGATGCGAATTGCGCAACAATATGCTCCGACTTGCCAAGAGAGATGTCTGTCCCCGCTTTTTGAAAAAGTCGTCCGTACGCGAAGAGAGCCATTTCGAAAAGAAACAACTTAGATGGGTAGCTGGAAACGGGAACCGACAACTTTGACGTGTCTGAGTGTGTACTGTTGGGAGTCCAAGGAAATATATGGTCTTCCCACCTCCTCGTCTCGAGCACTTCTGAGTTGAATCTTTGAAGAACCACAATCCATTTCTCGGCACGATCGCTCACTTTTGCACCTGAGTTCGGATCACGAACGTCCCCTGCCACGTGGAGATCTTCAGACATGCGAGAGCAGAGCTGGGATAGCCGGCAATGAGCGTGGAAATCTCGAAAAGTTGCAGTCACACCGGTTTTGTCGCATTCGGTTAGCGGGTTATGGTCGATGAAGGCGTCGCTCAATGACTGCATGCTCGTGTTGTTAGAAAGTAGATATGCATTTTTTTTCACAATCTCCAGAAGACTCGACGGCAAATACTGACAGAAAATTGTCCCGAACGCATTCTGAATGCCTTTTCGATGCAGTATAGAAGCCAGAAGCCTTGTCGAAGTTGATCGATCTCGCTGTCAGTCTGACATAATTGACGGATCGCAGTCATGCTGTTGAGTCTCAAGGCCTGAGCGCAGGAGACGCAAAGACCCAACACGCATGAAGTTTGCTCTACTCTATATTGCAGTGTGGCGATAAGCTTCAAAATTGGAACATTAGCTCATACTGTTTCAGATGGTGCTCGAAAGAAACTCACCGTTGTGAGTAAAGCCTGTGAGACAATTAGACCCGGGACAGCATCGGAGTTCGAGGTTACAATTAGGTACCTTGAAGACCAAGATTGATGGCCTGGCAACAAACATCTTCTCCATTGCCAACAAGGCCTCCTGGTAATGTGAAATCCCGCCAGTATCGTTGCTAGTTGTCGGGCTGGAGCGACTGCTCTTTGAATAGTTGAGATTGCCGATAGCCATGGACGCAAAAACAAGAGCTCTCTTAGCCGGATCTGTGACACCCTCAAGGATAACCTCCTGGTAAAGACGAGATACTTCAATTTTCGAAACATAAATGGCTCCCCTAAGTCGAATTAGAAGTGAGCACTTCAAATCTGAAGACGAGACGTACAGGTATGGCTGAGAAAGAAACGCTGCGCGATGTCTGGTCAGTACAATGCTGAGGAAGAGAAGATCTTGAATCGTTACCTTGGATGAACTGAAAGTGGGTATCGACATGGGGCGAAGGTATGCCCATATCGTCGAACAGGTCGAGATATTCCTGAGTCGTAAAACACTCCTCAACAACTTCAAGCAGACGTGCGATGAGTTCACTGGACGTTCCATCGAGGTTTCTCCGTCTGTTTAGGAACAGTTTTACCATATCGAGTGTGAGACTGGGAAGATGGCGTGGGGCTTAAAGACGATTCAGCGAATGTTCTCCCTGAGGATATGGCCCAGACCTACAGTTTGAAGACGCTGGCAAGGTGACAGCGTGATTAGCCTCGAAGGCATCAAGTTGCTGTGACGACATGTCGAAGTCCACCCAGTTTACAGGCGACAGTTCACAGAAAGATGCCGA